GTGGCTCCAAGGGACTGTCACACTTCTTGCAGGGCTGTAAATTTCTACACAGACTGGTTATGGATACAAGTAATACATAGGCTTGGCTGGCTGTTGCCCTACTAGTTTTTAAGACTATTTAGACGATAACCCAGGACAAATTACCAAGATGACAACCTTTTTAATTAGATAGTTTTTAAAAATAAGGCTGACTTTTTTAGGCAGATATAGTGGGCTCAGGCCTGTACTACTATTTTCCATGTCTTTCTTTTGTCTATTTTGTCACATTTTTTTAATTTAATTTTATTTTATTTGTGAACATACTGTACAGAGGGGTTACAATTGCATGGGCAGGATAATGCGTACATTTCTTACCAAGCATTTACCCTTCCCAGCCTCCCCCCTCCCTCCCCATTGTCACATTTTTGTTATGATTTTGGTCCCTTGTTCAAAAAAGGGGATGATGGGTGAAGATTCATCTGTAACTTCTTCAAACTGACTCAGGGGTGTTGGTCCTACCTACCCAGGAAACTATAACCTTAATCCATTTTACAAAGAAGTTACCAGGGTTAGATGTCATTAAGAATGATATTTTAACTTTTGACAAATGAAGACTTTTTTTTTTGATTACAGCAGTGTAGCCTGTTTAGCACTTTGGTTTGTAAAAGCACTTTTAGGAATGTGACCTCTAGTGACCCTAACAATGTCTAAGTCACCTGTTCAGGTCTTTATACAGATGTTAATAGAAACACACTCTTAGGTTTACAAACTTTTTCTTGAGCAGATAAACTTTATGTAGCTGATGTTAGCTTAAAAGCTATTGCCAATTAGGGCTTTTGGCACATACAGGGGTTGGGATTTAAACTATCCCCCACATTTTATAACTTTAGAATTTTTAGTACTATCACAAGTTTCTGTCCCTACAATGTAGATAGTCATGGTATTATGCATGCTTACAACCTATCTTTCCATGACCTCCTTGCTCTGACCAATATTTGAAGGGCCATGCACAAATGACTCTAGGATTTGACATTTTTGTCATCCAAGCAGTGGCTTACTGCCTCTGGATGCTCCTCCATTGCTCTTGTCCCAGGAATGTCTTCTCTACACTAGGATAACTGTCTTATCTGTATTTTCCTTAGCTGGTTGCTGGACAGGAACTTGGGCCTGAGTGCTGTCCCTCAGCTCTACAACTCAAGGCTAGCACTCTGCCACTATGAGTCCCAAAGCAACTCTCTTTGCTCTTTCAGCACTCTGCTGGATGAGTAGAGGTGACAGTCTCACAGGGACCTTTTTCTGCCCGGGCTGGCTTTGAACCAGTTTGCCGATCAATGAGTCTTATAAAAAGCTACTTTACTCCAATTAAAAGCAACAAGGTGGTCAACATAGAAGTAGCTTTTAAGCATGCTCTTACCTGAAACTTATTAAGAGCCAAAGTTACATCTGACAAACTTATAAGACTCCTCTGTGTTTTGTTCTTGGCTTGCTGGAAACTTAAAAAACATATAAGACAAAACTGGAATAGCAATTAAGCAATTATTTTGGTAATCCTAATTTTTTTACTTTGAAGCAAATGTTAAGAACAATTTTACTTTTAAACTTTATATCCAGAAATCCATTAGTAATTTTTAAGCCTCCTATTAATCTCTTTTATTCTTTTATATTTTAGTTTTTAGTTACATTACAAAAAATCCCTTAAAATGTCGAGGCCAAGTGTCACTCATTGTCTCTTGGCTGTTTGTTTTAAACCAGATACACATTAAAACTTTTGAACTCAAATGACAATATTTCCTTGTATGTGCCGTCAAGTGAGCACAGGGGTCAAGATGACCTTAGAGCTTTACTGTCGGCCCCGAAAAAATATCAGAGGTAATATTAACATATTATACTAGGAAATGAGATCCACTAATATAGCTTACGGTTACTAGATTTGAACTACTTTAATCATTGGATAATCTTATGTGTTAGTATATGATTTCATAAATGACTTTATATGAAGATGTAATAGTCATACTGCAAATATTTTGAATCCATTTTGTGACTTAAATGTACAAATATTTAAAATTGTGTTGCCTTTCTGCTTTGCTGTTTAATAAAAAGATATTTCACAAAACAAAAGAAGATGTAGCCTATTTCCATCACAAAGCACGACTAGGCCAGCAACAAGAAGGAAATCGTGTCATGTGCTGCCACATCTGTAGAACTACAGATCGCTGTGGAAAATGCAAGAAGTCAGACACAGAAAGGCAAATGCACTTTCTTGAAACAGACAAGAACAGAGAAGAGCAATTGTCAACAAGACCAGAAGGGTCCAAGTGAGGAATGGAGTCAATGCAATGAGGTAGACCAGAAACCCAGGGTGAGGAGTCACAGCTGACCCTCTTTTGAGCACAGTGACAAATTTCTGCTTCAAAATCACAATGGGTAATGATGAAAATGAGTAGGGAATTAGAGAATGAAGCTACCTCCTCAGAAACAACCAGGCATGAAAAGAGATCACTCATCACCCTGCTTTCAGGAATATGCAGGAAATGCTTACCTCTAACTTCCAAATGGGGTCTCTAGGGATGAAAACAGTTTTAGAAAAAAATGGCCATTATTGCCAAAGAAATTCCTGTACAGGAATGTCTCATTCTATTTTTTTTCTTTTTTGGTGCCAGTCCAGGGGTTTGAACTCTGGGCCTGGATGCTGTTGCTGAGCTCTTTTATTCCAGACTGGCACTCTACCAATAGCGAGTGGAGATAAGAATGGCAGATGAGAATCTCATGGGCTTTCTTCACCAGGCTGGCTTTGAACCTTGATCCTCTAATATCAGGCTCCTGAGTTTGCATCAGTACAGGGTTCCATTTTTCTTTTCTAACAGCATATATGATGATAAAACAAAAGGAGACTGAGATGAGGAAGGCTGGGAAGGTGGCTCAGTGGTAGAGAGCTTTCCTAGCGTGCATGAAGCCCTGGGTTCAATTCCTCAGCAGCACACACATAGAAAAAGCCAGAAGTGGTGCTGTGGCACCAATGGTAGAGTGCTAGCCTTGAGCAAAAGCACCTCAAGAACAGTGCCCAAGCCCTGAGTTCAAGTCTCAGAACCGGAAAAAAAAAGCAAGGGACACTTTGGGTAAGAAACTTTGGGGACACATGGCATACACACCACTGAGGTTGTTTACAGACAGTCATCTCAAGTTGGGTCTCAGTGTCTCCTGCTGGCCTACTGGGATCCAGGAGAGGTAAGTGACTGCACCACTCCCCTGACCCCTGGAGAAGCACCCACATAAAAGTGAAAAGTGTCTTGATAATTGTCACATGGTGGAAAAGAAAAAGTTTACTGAGAACTTGGCTTGCCACCCCAGGTGAAGGGGAAATCACCGCTCCTTCAGGAGACAACCTCAGCTTCCGCCCTCCTGGACCCCTATCTAAGGAGCCCTCTGTAGCTCTGAAGTGCCCATGTGAATCTCAGAAATGACCCACCCTGCCACGCACATCCTGAGAGAAGAGGCAAGCACTTGTGTTCACTGCCACTGGAGAGGCGCAGCCTGCAGAAGAGACTCCAGGTACACACTCTGGGTAAGGTATCACCTTAGGACCAGGGATTCTTGATTGAACCCGGTTGCATACCAAAGAAACAGGGAAGGATAGGAATGGGCTAGGACAGTGAAAAGAACAGGGGTTCCAGGCCCCTCACCCCCAAGTCCTGTTGGTTCCTAACTTCATCTCCCCTCACAGAGTCTGTCCTGGTTTATGTTAAGTGAGGAGGAATACTGATTCTCCATGGACTGGGAAAGCTATGTTCACATAAGTGACTCTAGAATGGGATTTGACCCTAAAATTGACCCCTCTCTGTCTCTGACATCCACCTCTTTCTTAACCCCCAACATCCCCAATACAGACCTGGTTCATCTTCCTGGTATTTCTTCTGGAAATGTGGGCTCCATGTTGAGGAAAGGGTGACACTTGGGACCCACTCCTTAAGCCAGGGTATTGAAGTATAAGTGCATGTGACCCCAGGAACATGTCAGGTATGTTTCAAGCTTCTTTCTTTAGTCAGTCAGAGAGCTTGAACTTGAGTCTTGCCCATGTTCCTTCAGCCCTTTTTGCTCAAGGCTAGGCCTCTACCACTTTGAGCCACATATCTACTTTCGGTTTGCTGGTGCTTAACTTGAGAGAAGAGTCTCAGAAACTTTCCTTCTCTGGGCTGGCTTTGAATTGGGAATCCAAGGTCTCAGCCTCTGAGTAGCTAGGATTACAGTCTTGAGCTACTAGGGCCTTGCTTGTTTAGAATCTTAGATATGATTCTACAGAGGAGAAATGCAGCTGCCTTCACTTCAGAACCAGACACACCTTCCCTTTATACCATTTCTCCAGGTTCACCCATTTCCCTGAACATGCCATCTTCCACTTTCCGATGGAGGAATAGAATTGGATTTTCCTAATACATGAGAGACAGTAGGAGAGTATTTCCAGTGGTGTGAATGCTGGATGGAAAATGTTGAGTTCCCTTGGCACCATGAAGGCCTCAGTTTCCCAAGCCAGAGCCTCTGAATGAGACTCAAGGAACAGAGAGGATGGGAGATTCCCACATGTCTATGGGGGTGATCCTCTTAGGCCAGACTGTGGTTGGGTTTGTAGGTAATTTGTCTCCTTTCTCCCATTATCCATTCCTTTCCTTCATAGGGAACAGGATGAGAGCCACAGACTTGATTCTTGGGCACTTAATTGTGGCCAACTTCCTAAGTCTTCTGTGTAGGGATGTTCCCCAAACCATAGTGGCTTGGGTCTTGAGAAATGTCTTCAATGATATGGAGTGAAAAATGGTCTTCTATCTTTTCCAAGTGTGCAGGGGGGTGTCGATTGTTAGCACTTGCTCCCTGAGCATCTTCCAGGCTGTCAGCATCAGCCAGGGGGCCTCCAGGTGGGCAGGGCTGAAGGGGAGAGCCCACAAGCCCTCTACCTCAGCTGGGGGGCCTTTCTCCTGGTGAGCATTGTTTGTCTTATGTTCATGACCAGACCCAAAGCACAGGATAACATGACGAGCTTAAAGGCCTATGGATACTGTTCTTCCATGCGTCAGGATCCAGCTGCTAATGTGCTGTACGTGGCCATGCTCTCAGTGCCTGATGTTCTGTGTCTGGGACTCATGCTCTGGGCTAGCACCTCCATGCTCTTTGTCCTGTACAGACACAAGCAGAGAATGCAACACATACAGAGTATCAGCGTCTCCACCAGAGCCTCTCTCTAGTCCAGAGCTACCATAATCATCCTCCTCCTGTTGAGCACCTTTGTCTCCTTTTATACCGTGTCCTGCATCTGTCAGACTTGCTTGACTGTGATTTACAACCCCAGCCCTGTGCTGCACCATATCTCAGTGTTTGCTATGAGCTGTTTCTCAGCCCTCAGTCCTTTCCTGCTCATGAGCAGACACTCCATTCACTGCAGCCTCCTCTTCACCTGCACCAAGAAGATGAAAGTGATCCTCCCTTGAGGACCACCAAGCTTACATCTCTGCTGAACTTTGCTTGTCCATTCAACAATCTCCAACTAGATAAAAGTCATCTGCTGAGAGAAAGAGGTGTGCACACGTCCACACCTGCACATTTGTGTGCTATATATCTGTGTGTGTGTTCATCTGTCTCTATTTTTCTGGCCCACAAAACTATATGAAAGTGGAAATGTGAGATTTTGGCATAATGTTTTTTAGGTCATGTTAACTTCCTCCAGATGATCTGCCCTATTAATTGGTAATCATGTCAAATTCAAGATAAACTGGTTAAACTCACTTAACATGTTTTCCTAATTCCATTTAGAGTCTTTTGTTTCTTTTCTTTCTTTCTTTAATAGTTCCCTATGCAACGAAGCAAATCATTCTTAAAACCCTTTCTGTTCTGGAGAAGAAAGTAGTTAGAAAGAAAATAGCAGCTGGGTGTTGGTGGTTGATGCCTGTGTTCTGAGTTCCTGAGGAGGTAGGATCTAAGGATCACAGTTCAAACCAGTCTAGGCAGAAAACTCTGAGACTTTCATCTCAAATAAACCAGTAAAAAAAAGATGTTGGTGGTGCTGTGGCTGAAGTGGTAGGGTGTTAGCCTTGAGCAAAATCATCCCAGGGATAGAACGGAGGCCCAGAGTTCAAGCCTCAGGACTGCACAAAGAAGCAAAGAGAGAATGAGGGACACAGATATACAGACAAATAGAGACAGACAGAGAAGACATATGGAAAGCCAGCAAAGAAGAAGGAAAGAAGGAAGGAAGGAAGGAAGGAAGGAAGGAAAGGAAGGATGGAAAGAAGGAAGGAGGAAAGAAGAAAGGAATAAAGGCAGTCCTGCTGGTGTAGCTCTGACTACAAACATCAAGGCTCCTTCCTGACAGTTACTCCTTTAGTCTTGTCTGTGCTTATTTCTTCCATATAATTTATTTTCACAACTCTTTATTTTCCTAGGTGGCCTATATTACATATCTCTAGACTCTCTGCTAACTCAACAAGTACATTAAGTATAATTTTGAAAAGCACATTTTTTTTGCTTTTTTTATTGTAAAGATACTATACAGAGGGTTACAGTTACATGAGTGAGGTAATGAGTACACTTCCTCTTGAACATTGTTAGCCCCTCCATTGTTTTCCCCCT